AAGCATCAGTAATACCGCTTTTTGGAAAACATTTTTTTATAAAAAACTACCGGTCCTGCATTTCAGTGTAAACTTTTACCACCCATTTCAGCGTGAATTAGTTTTATATAGACAATTATGGTTAACCTTAACAATAAATCACGTGGAGCTTTCCCAGATTATATGTTTCATTAGTGGTAATCTGCGCGGTCGATCGCTTATTTCGCGACGTAATACACTTAAAGTTGAAGACACGTTCAATCAAATGGTTCTTTTCGACACTTATTTCATCATTTCGTGCAATTATCTTGAAGTAACGTATTTTAGAATGGAAAATACTTTTAGCTTTACTGATGGAAGTTTCCGATGTTCTGAGTCAACGTCACCATTTAAGTGACAAAAGGACGCTACATGTCACAGAATGACTTGATTTTCGTGACAAAAAAAAAAATAAAAAAGTAGGCCATTAGGTACCTTCATGGCCTTAGCAAAGTTTATTTCGTGTTGGAAGGTAAATTATAAGCTCTCTGTGGAATTTGGCTCAACGTGGCATTGACGATAATTTACGATAATTACGATTTAATTGTCAAAATGCGACAAAATGGCGTTACAGGTCAAAATTTGTAACGAACGAAACTGGGCCAAACAAGGTCGACTGACTGAAACATTTCTCACGTGCAATAGGTCTACTGCGCGTGCCACAGTCTTCTTGGCACCATTTTACTGAAACTCCGGTTGTTTTGCGCTGTTGCTAGCTGGAGTTATATTTCAAAAATGTGTGCGAGTAGGCGCGTGTTTCTGACTTGACTTATATTATTGCGTTTACAAATACACGGATATTTGTTAAAACGTATGTCATACTTTATGCTTATCGTTTGGAAAAGTTCTTTGTACTTAGATTCCAGAAATTATCATGATTGCATCATATTATTACAATTTATCATGCGCTTTTGGAAAAACAGTCCGACGCTGAGCCCAAATTTCAGCAAAATAACGCCGTTTTTTCGTAACACTTTTTTTGTTCCGAATGCCGCGTTTTAAAATCACGATATTCCAACAATGCAAGTTTTCCCAGATTATGGCGTGTTGTTCTGATCTCATCATCGTTAGTAGGTAGAACTATACCATGATACCAAAAATTTGTAAATCCGAGAAAACAAAATTAATTAATGTTATCACTGAGTTCATTACCTCCCCTGAGTATAGGAACTATAAACAACGTCGCGACACCATGTTCCTTGCAACACGATTTCGTAATATTTAGAGGTTTGGAAATGTGAGACAGTTATTCATGTTGGCGGAACTAGCTCATAAACTATGTTGTTGAGTTCTATAATTTCGTTGAACTTTTTCCGTCCAGTGACCCTTGGAAAACAGCATATATAGAAAAGTTTTCTGTGCCCCGGCAGACCAAGGAGAACCTTTTCGTCGTGAACATACGACATATGATGTTCTCGATAAAACAATTATTGTCGTATATTCATTTACCCAATTTTATTTTCCTCGTTAAAAATCACCTCAAAACGCTCAAAGTCTTGCGGAAAATGTATATTTAGGAATAAAAACAAAATAAAGTGATTGCTTTGTTTTTCCCTCGTAGATTTAATTATGGGCAAACAATTTAGATCAAGTTAGTGATGCATGCTATGAAATTGACTGCAATTAAAGTTGTCATATTCTGGACAAAAGTTTCGAATGGCAATGTTTGAAAAAAATTCAAGGACTTTAACTTGGACGGTCATTATTGAACCTGACTTTTGTTTGAGCGGACTTAAGGTGAACGCTAGGACCTCCAGAATGAAGGCATACTATGGTCTGTGGAATACACCGCACACACTTTGACACTTATCCAATATTCAAATAAAAGCGAAACCATCCCTAAAAAGGATACTTCGAATCTTAAGCATGCTTGCCAGCGGCTGAAAACTTGCCTCTTTAAAAGTATTAATACTTGCCTAAACTCGACTATACTTGCGAAGATTGTGTTGCGGGCGAGTCTCTGGATCAGTCAACTGGCTGTCAAACCCTGTCCGGCTGTGTATGAGTTTAGCAGCTAACGCAGCTTCTACCTGCACGGCATATGACCAGGCTGGCCATGGGTAGCCGCTGGATCCAGGGAACATCACAAAGTGCCTGCACATGGCGTAAGTTGTTGTTTCCTAAAAATGGAGAGACGAAGGGTGGTAATCTGAAATTTATGTTAATCTTTGAATGCAATAATGTGTGCGAATAAACATTATAGATGAAATACTGACGTCATAACAAGCAAAGTTTAGTTTTTGTACAAATATTTGGTATTACTATTAGTTTATGAGGTCCCATCACAGGAAGAAGGCTCGAAAAGAATTCCTGTGAATGAAATGCAACTATTGTATGTGAACACCACCCGCAACACTTTGACCACCTTATCAATATTCAAATATAAAAAGCGAAACATCCTTTCCAAGGGCTACTACGAAATCTTAAGCTGCTTGCCAGAGGCTGTGAAAACTTGCAACTATAAATACTTGACCTAAACTCGACTTCTACTTGCAGAGATTGTGTTGCGGGCGGAGTTTCTGGATTGTCAACTGGCTGTCAACCCTGTCCGGCAGATGAATGAGTTTAGCAGCAACGCAGCTTCTACCTGCACGGGCATGTCAGCTGCAGAGGGGTAGCCGCTGGATCAGGAACATCACAATGTGCCTGCACATGGAGTAAGTTTGTTGTATTCCAAAAATTGGAGAGACGAAGGGGTTCATCCTGAAATTTATGTTAATCTTAGAAATGCAATAATGTGTGCGAATAAAAATTAATAGACAAGAAATACTGACGTCAACAAGCAAAGTTTAGTATTTGTACATAATTGGTATTACTATCGTTTATGATAGGTCCCATCAAGATGCTCGAAGGGAATTCTGTGAATGAAATGCAAACTATTGTATGTGAACACCCACCGCACCACCACTTTGAACTTATCCAATTATTCAAATATAAAAGCGAACCTCCCTAAAAGGGTATTCGAATCTTAAGCTGCTTGCCAGCGGCTGGAAACTTGCAACTATAAATACTTGGACTAAACTCGACTATACTGCAGAAGATTGTGTTGCGGCGAGTTCTGGTCAGTAATGGCTGTCACCCTGTCCGGCAGATGAATGGAGTTTTGCAGCAAAGCGCTTCTACCTGCACGGCATGTCCAGCTGGCAAAGGGGGGTTGCGCTGGATCAGGAACATCACAAAGTGCCTGCACATGAAGTACAGTTGTTGTTCCTAAAATTGGAGGGACGACGGGGTTCATCCTGAAATTTATGTTAATCTTAAGAAATGCAATAATTGAGTGCGAATAAACATAGAATGAAATACTGGACGTCAACAAGCAAAGTTTGTATTTGTACAATATTTGGTATTTTACAATAGTTTATGAGGTCCCTCACAGATGCTCGAAAGGAATTCCTCGGTGAATGAAAATGCAACTTTTGTATGTGAACACCCCCGCACACACTTTGACACTTATCCAATATTCAAATATTAAAAAGCGAACATCCCTAAAATGGGTACTTCGAATCTTAAGCTGCTCTTGCCAGCGGCTGAAACTTGCTACTATAAATACTGACTAAACCGACATACTGCAGAAGATTTGTGTTGGCGGGCGAGTTTCTGGATCAGTCAAATGGCTGTCAACCCTGTCGGCAGATGAATGAGTTTAGAGCAACCGCAGCTTCTACCTGCACGGCTGTCCAGCTGGCAACGGGGTTGCGCCGGGATCAGGATAACATCACAAGTGCCTGCACATGGAGTAACGTTGTTGTTGCTGTGTATACACTAGAACAAGAAGCGACACTTATTCCTGACATAAACCCCTAATAGATTAATAATCAAATTAGTACAGGAATATATCAAGATACAACACCCTTCCACCTTAATCAGAAAGCTAGATTAATTTTTAAAGTGAAAAAACTCGCGTGCGGGGCTGCTCAAAGTGAACACATTTTGAACCAGCGGTAATCGACAAAGATTTGTAAACATAAAAGTTGCGTACATTAGGTGTTATGCGGGTACGTAAACCACACATTTAAACTGCGGCTGACTAAATGTTCCACGCGTCCATATAAAACTTGGGACGTGAAATAAAAACTTAAAAAACTCGTGAAGTTGAAACGGCTGTCTGAGATTGAAACATGCATTTAACACGCGGAGTTTACTCCTTTCCCTTCCTTCTCAAAATCAACGACTCTCTCAAAATTATAAACCCCCCTCTAGCCACATACCTTTTGAATATCAGAAAATATAACCGTCCGTCCTACAAAAGTTCAATTGTTTTAATTTTAATAAATAGTTGAAATTTTTTTCACGGCGTCATCCTTACAACAGCTAAATTTGGCCGACACAGACGTCAATCATCCCCCTAACTTAGAATAATTTCCACTGATCTGAAGGGGTTTTTCGAGATCCGACGGATCGGTCGTGTTAGGTGCACTAGCATACTACTTACAGGACTGTGTTCAGCCACTGGGTGGCTCAAAAACATGTCATCATGCACAATCTTTGGTAAGCTATGACAAGGTACTGGCGGACTAGGTAAGACTAGATTCAATTGCTAGGGTGTGCTACGCACTGCTGGTTGTATGGCTTGTCTAACCTTCAGTTGGTCACATGTTTTGTCCACTCCGCCATTTTCTCCCCCAGAATTCTCTAAACCTTGCTCTTGCGAGCTTGAACTGTACCTATATGGCCAGCTTGGTTGTCTGACGTCCTTGTAATACACTGGTTCACCTACCTTGAACTCTCTAATATACCCTGTTCTACAACCTCCTGTTCCGGTTTTGGGTATAAGGGTTTACACGGATAAGTAAAGATAGTTGGTGCGTGTACGTACGTCAAACATCAGAGCACTGGGACATACATTGTCTTTTGACACGGAGTGTGGAGTTATTTCTGTACGTGGAGTAACCAAGCTGCAGATTCTTGTTATAATCTGAATCGGTAGCCTTGCATCGTCTCAGAGCCTTCTTGAACCGCTGCACATCCGTTCAGCAAGTCCGTTACATTACGGGAGTAGCAGGTTGGATACTGGCAACGTGATCAATCCCGATACTCTCTAAGAAATCTCCATTCATTCGCACCAGATGCGGTCCTCTGTCTGATACAACTAATCTCGGCAGTCCGTACACAGCAAAGAGTTTTCTTAACTCTCTAATCGTGGCTTCCGTTTTAGTATTATGTCCCATATCGATAATCTCTGGAAACTTGCTGTACGAATCGACAACTACCAACCATTGCCTGTCAAATAGCTGTGCAAAGTCGATGTGAATCCTCTCCCAAGCTCTCGTAGCTGGTATCCACGGATGTGGAGTCGTTTTCTGCGGGTTTTCTGATTCATCTGGCAAGTATCACAATGTTTCGATAGTTTCTCGATATTTTCGTTTTCCCCCGGCCACCAAACGTAGGATCTAGATAGAGCCTTCATGCTTACTATCCCTTGGTGACAAGCGTGTAGCATGTTGAGTACATTATCCCTCAGTTTAGTAGGAACAACTACTCTAGCTTCCCACAACAAACATCTCTCTACCGACAGCTCCTCTTTCCTCTGATAGTAAGATTGTAGGTCGGGAATTCCGTCGTGACTCCAACCTTCCTGAACGTATCTCACCAACCTGCTAAGGATTTTATCTGTTTTGGTGCACGTAGGATCTGGTCTGTGGATTTCATGGTGGCTTGTCGTCGAAAACTTGTTAAGAATATATCGCTAACTGGTAACCTGCTAAATCAACCGATATCTGGGTCAGTTAAAACCTGTAAAACATCCTGCGTACGCGTAAGTACAACCTGGTACAAACCTCCGCATTCAGTGATTGGATGTAGTTCTAACTTAGCGTATACATGATAACTAGCGAAGTAGAACCTTCCCATCTCTGTATCCTGTTACTTCCCTTCGGGAATCTGCTTATTCTCTCCCTGCAGGAACTTCAGGGGCTTGTGAACCGCACTAACTCGAACTATCGGGCGAATATGTAGCGGGAAACTTCTTACCGCCCATACTAAACTAAGAGCTCCTTCTCTTATCTTCCCGTAGAGTTTTTCTCTGCTGATTTAGTGACCTCGACGCGTTTCTATCGGCCGTTCTCTTCCGTCTGGGTAGGTGTTGCTGATCAAGCTCCTACCAAGATTTCTCGCATCAGAATCCACTTTTATTGGTAAGCCCTGGGATTATCTGTACCAATACTTTGTCGGATGATAAACACTTGCTTCAGCGTGTCAAACGCCCTTTTCTGCTCCGGTTCCGAAAACTCACTTGACACCAGACCTCGTATAGTCTGTATCAGTGGTTTCAGCTCTCTCGGACTTATTCGGTATTAACTTAGCGTAATAATTAATAGCGCCTATAAACGATACTAACTCGATAAGTTCTCGGATAAGGTGCTTCCCTTGAGGTCTTACATGTCTTTACTGGAGATATCCCGATACCTAACCTTTATGACCTATGTAAAATTACCGAATCTTTATAAAACTCGCATTATCTAATCTGCAACGATATTGCATGCTCTTAACTGTTAATCACCTTGGTAACGTTATCTCTATGCTCGTGGTCGTTGCGAACCGTGATGCAGATATCGTCAACCCTGCATACTGTGTTAGTATCCCGAACAGTGCCTTATCATCTTATATGAAATTGCCATCGCTGTTGACCACTCCAAACGGAAAGTCTCGTCGGCTGAATATTCCTAGAGGGGTATTAGAGTTAACAGATTTCCTTAGCTTCCTCGCTGAGCTCAACCTGGATTGTTAGCCTGTCTAATATCCTGCCTAGTAAACTTTTCCCGCCTCTCATGGGGTAAACGCATTCTTCCTCGTCGGTAGCGGTATGCTTTGCGTCCAGTGATGATTTACAGTAGCTTTGTAATCCCACAAAATCCGTTTGCTCCGTCTGGCTTGTCTACGACACGTCGGGCTTGCATACCTGCTGTGTTTCAACGTTCTCAGCAAACCTTTCCCGTTACTTGACGTCTGAGATCGTTATTAACTTTTTCTTCGCCAAGGAATAGGCTAAGTCTTGATTCCTGTAAACTGGCATACTGCCTCTTTCACCTGTATGTTTAGCTCGGAAAATCCATGATCAGCCCAACACCGTCTTCGAAGATGAATTCCCTCTGACCCTGCTAAGAAATCGTCATGTCACGGTTTCCCGTTCTGGAATAGGATCCTTCCTGAACTAATCTGGCTAGCACATTTAGAGCTATCGTACACCATGTTAATACCTGTAACCTGTACCTTCTACATCGAACTATATAAGCCAATCCTTCTCCGAATAAACCTGCGTATCCAGTCTATTCCTAGTAAGAGGGAAATGGCTGGTCGACTACATGGACCGTTAAATTAGATACTTACAAACCACTACAACTTACTTCGACTGAACCCTGCCTTATGTTATCAACTAGTCGGCCGTTAGCGAACCTTATGATACGATCTGACAGTCTCAAACCCTACATTTCTGCACCCTTTCAGTGCAGATTCTACTAATTATGGTCATATGAGACCCCAGTCTTCAAGCTCCATCTCTACTGGGATGGGAGTTAACAAACAGATTAATCATGGGTTCACTCTCCACAGTACTAGTTAAAAACCGTGTCAATTATAGTTCATCGAAGTTAAATAATCATCAATCTCAACATTATGGCTATACGAATTTAAAGAATCATCAATCTCAACATTATGCCATCCTCGTCGCCATTTGCTGTGTATACACTAGAACAAGAGAGACACTTACTTTCCAGACATAAACCCTAATAGATAAATCAATTAGTAAGGAATAATATAACATGATAACAACAGTGTTCCTACAAAATTGGGAGGGACCGCAGGGGGTCATCCTGAAATTTATGTTTAATCTTAGAAATGCAAATAATGTGTGCGAATAAAAAACATAGACTGAAATACTGACGTTCAAAAGCAATGTTTAGTATTTGTACAATAATTGGTATTACTAAATGTTTATGAGGTCCCATCACAGAAGTCGAACGGAATTCCTGTGATGAATGCAACTATTGTATGTGAATTGTGAACACCACCCGCACACCTTTGACACTTATCCAATATTCAATATAAAAAGCGAACCATCCCTAAAAGGGTACTTCGATTCTTAAGCTGCTTGCCAGCGGCTGAAACTTGCAACTATAAATACTTGCCTAACTCGACTATACTAGCAGACGATTGTGGTTGCGGGGCGAGTTCTGGGATCAGTCAACTGGGCTGTCAACCTGTCCGGCAGATGAATGGAGTTTAGCACGCTATCGCAGCTTCTACTGCACAGCATGTCCAGCTGGCAAAGGGGTAGCCGCTGGATCAGGAAACATCACAAAGTGCCTGCACATGGAGTAGTTGTTGTTTCCTAAAAATTGGGATGACCGAAGGGGTTCATCCTGAAAATTATTGTTAATCTTAGAAAAAATGCAATAATGTGTGCGAATAAACATAGACTGAAAATACTGACGATCAAACCAAGCAAAGTTTAGTATTTGTACACTAATTGGTATTACTATACGTTTATGAGGTCCTCACAGATGGCTCGAAAGGATTTCTGGAAGAAATGCAAATATTGTATGTGAAACACCACCGCCACACACTTTGACACTTATCCAATATTCAAATAAAAGCGAACCACCATCCCTAAAAGGGTACTTTCGAATCTTAAGCCTGCTTGCCGCGGGCTGCAACTTGCAACTATAAATACTTTTGACTACTTATCGGACCTTATTTGGGACGGGAATTACATGAACGGACATAATTATGAATGGCTAGTAATATGAACGCTTCGAATGCAATCAAACCATCAAAATCCGAATTTTTCATTTTTTTGACGTTTTTTAAATTTCAGCAGAATGTTTTTTAAATCCATTTTTTCTACAGTAAGTAAGAAACGCAGTCATTGAGCAGTAAAAAAATGTTTTTTGCTTGGGGACTGGTCCGTTAGTACCGCCAATGTTTACTCACAAGTAATTTATAATGAATTAGTTAAATATTATCCCGAGGGGCACGCCAAATTAAAATTGTGATGTTATCGTTAAAAACTATTCAATTAAAAATTATATTGGTCGAGGTCGACTGGCACTGATTCTGCAAAACATATTTGATAATTGTAACTTTATGATGCTGCCCTCACGCTTAGGCGTGTGTTTCAGTGTAGATATGCGCTATGTGGCAGTGATATAAGGAAAGAAGTTCACTGTCTGGCAGGTGTTTGAAATGTTGTCCTGATCAGTTGTTAATTTGAGCTGTATGAGTTGGTTATTGAGTGATTATTGACTGTGTTCTTTGTGATTTTACGTAATCAGTAGGTTGTGGAGTAAAAATGGTGGCCATTCGTCGTTGCAGCAGCACTTTGCAAGGTCTAGTAGTACTTTTTTGACGAATTTGTATATATGTTGATAGAAAATATTTCTGGACGGGCATGTAATGCGAGTGTTTTGCTCTGAAAATAGCGAGCATTGGGCCTTTAAAAAAGATGCTAGATCTCAGGTCAGTCTGTGAGTAATGATAACCAGTATAAGTTTTGTTCGTGTGTCGTTCCTTGTTTGGGTGTGTTAGGAGGGAAAAGTTCTGAAATCGATTTAGGTAACAAATAGACATTTTCGAACTTTGAACTTTGTGCAGTAAAATAAGTGCGTTTTTAACGATAACCCCTTGAACGGTTAAGACCTCGTGTTCTTTAAATGCTAGTTTTGTGTGCTCTGGCAGTTTTCCGTCCTTGTAGTAGTAGTTCACATTTCCGGCCATAACTGCCCTCATACCTTGTTTTTGTTTAGCAAAAAGAGATTCTATACGAGATTTTGAAGCAAATCCCCAGACAAGTGAGCAGAAGTTTAAATGGGACTGAAGAAAACTTTGGAAAATCTGTAAACGGGCCTTCATTGGCAATTTATGTTTTATCCTGTACATCACCCCAATAAATCTTGACATCTTGCTCCTCAGTGCTGTTAAAATATATGTACATGATCAGTGTCTAATATCACATATCATCTTCATCAAATGGGTTTTCGTGCATGAAATAATCCATGCTTAAAGCATCAGTGATTTCTAGCTTTATGGAAACCTTTTTTTTATCAAACTACCCCGGTCCTGCATTTCAGTGTTAACTTTTACAAACCATTCGGCGTGAAGTGGTTTTATCTTAGACAACTTAAGGTTAACCTTAACATGGAGCTTTCCTAGCACTGTTCCATTACCTCCCCTGAGTAATATGAACTATAACAACGTCGGACAATGTCCTTGGAAACACGATTTACCGTAATATCTAGAGGCTGGAACAAGTTTGTCATGTTGGCGGGGACTAGTTCATGAACTATATTGTTGAGTGCCATAATTTCGTTGACTTTTTTCCGCCAAGTGACCCTTGAAAACATCATAAACTAGTAGAATTTTCTGTGCCTCCGGCAGACCAAGGAGAACCTTTCCATCGTTAACTTACGGCACAATCAAGTTCTCAAAGTTGTCATATTCTGGACAAAAGTTCGAAATAGAAAAATGTTTGAAAAAATTTCAACGGACTTTAACTTGGACGGACATTAATTGAACGGACTTTATTTAAACGGACATTAAGATGAACGCTAGGGCCTCCAGCGTTCAAGTAATGTCCGTCCAAATAAGGTCCGATAAGGTATGTAGTCTGTGGATGTCGATGTATAGTGGCGATTCATATAATCACCACTATATTAGTATATATATCGTGGCCGCGAAAGCCATGGTATGGCCGGCCGAGTGCATTTGTCATTTGTGCGCGGTGGGCCCACAGTGTGGGGAAAGATTGTACAATGATACCAAAAATCTGTAAAATCGAGAAACTAAATATTTTTCGATTACCACTTAATGATTAAATATATTTCGGTATTTCAGTACTTGTCTGTAAAAAGACAACTATTGATAACGGTGTGGTTTCTCCGGATACACTGACAATAGAATCTGGATCTACTTACTCGGTAACTTGTGACGAAGGGTTCTTAATCTCTGGATCCCCAACCATAAATTGTGACGGCGATCAACTCTCGGAACTTCCAACATGTGAAATAGGTTAATTTGTTAATCTATTCAACCCTATCTGTTTATTTCTCAGTGATATTAATGCTTTAATGCATTACTATTATTCACAGTTCTAAAACCTTAACACTCTTTGGACGAGAGCACTAGAGCAGGTATTAAATATCATTGATCATGTATTCACGCGCATTCTCTTGTAACTACCATAAATAACGGATTAAACGGATTAAACGGATTAAACGGATTAAACGGATTAAATGTCAATTGGTCAAGAGGAGCCCTAACACTCCTGGCTTAACAATACAAGAATGAAATTATAAATAAAAATAAGATAGTGATACAAAAACCGTAAAGAAACATATACTATAATTTAAGCTAAGTCTCTCGGGAAACGAAGTGCATCTATATTCTATATCAACTAAATATTTAGCAATCTCTTTTAAAAGCTTTGGTTGAGTGAATATGAGATCCATTCCCTCGAAGAGGTTGGTTTTAGCTTCAGGGCTAAGGCGGTCCCTGTTGTCTTGGTAGAGGGGGCAGGTTCTAAGCACATGAACCTCATCTTCTATTATGGGATCAAAGAAGGGTAACTCTGCCATGTACTCAGTGTATTCTTGTCCTTAGTGGAACATGTACTACAGATACGATTTAGGATGTTGTTTCTTCTGACATGTCCATGGTGTCCCGTTCCAATATTTAGGCGGTGAGAGCTAGTCCTTATTAGTTATTTGGGCTAGTTTTTTTTGACTGGTTGTATGGAAGATAGAGAGAGAGGTATTTTTCGCAACCAAAACTTGATTTAATCGAATTGTAGAATCCAAGTTTTCTGTTGAGCTGTCTCTCTTCATCCCATTGTGTTCTAAAGCAAGAACGGAGAACATCTCGTATTTGAATGGGTTGCCTTTC